GATTTAGGTGACAAACTAAGTGTGCGAGAAAACACACGCCAGATTCTGTTCAACCTGAATAAATGTGAAGTTATATAGTTTTGAGTGAAAAACAATGCAAAGTATTATGTAAATAGTGATATATTGAGAAATGTGGATGTACAAAGGGATCTGGCTATCCTATTACACCAGTTAATGAAAATAAACAGGCAGCTGCAGAAAGCAATTAGGAAGGCAAATGGTCATTACAAAAAGATTGGAGTTTGAAGTAGGAATGTCTTACTGCAGTTATAAGGCCATGGTGTGAATGCATAGAGTATTGTGTGCAATCTTCCTCTCCCCACTTGAGAGGATATACTTGCCATCGAGGAAGTGCAACAAAAGGTTCACGAGGCTGATGCAAGAGATCTGCTATTCAAAGAGAGACTAGTTTGATTGGGCATGAGAGTAGATCCAATTGAAACGTGTAAAATTTTACACAGGGCTAGACAGACTAAATATAGGGAGAACGTTTCCCCTGGTTGGAGTCTAGAACCAGGAGTCCGTCTAAGGATATGGGTTGGCTATGTCGGACTGAGATGAGGAAACCTTTCTTTACTTCTTAGGGGAGGTGATAGCCCAAGTATTAATGTAAAAACCCAAGTAATGTTCTGGGAACCTGGGTTTGAATCCTGGTATGGCAAATGATGGAATTTAAATTCAATAAAAATCAGAATTAAGAGTTTAACGGTGACCATAAAATCATTGAAACTGTTGTAAGAACCCATCTGGTTCACTAATGTCCTTTAGGGACAGAAACTGCTGTCTCTACCTGGTCTGGCCTAAACTGACTTCAGACCCACAACAATATGCTTGACTCATGATTCCCCTCTGGGCAATTAGGTTTGGGCAATAAATATTGGTGTGGCCATACTGTGAAAGCATTAAAAAAAAAACTCATGGTCAACCTAAGGAATTTGCTACCACCAGAGGCTGTGGAGGCTGGGTGAGAGATTTAATAACTTTGATTTTTTTTTTAAAGTCTGGAGAGAAAGCAGAATACAGCACTGAGATAAAGGGATTGCCATGATCACATTGACCCTGCCCTGCCAAAGTGTTGAATGGTCCACTCTTGCTCTTTGTTTCGATGTGACAAAAAGAATGAGAACCAAGCTTGTTCAATTTCTTACCAAAGTCTGGATCTTAGAAACTAACTCTATATCATCAGAGAACTATCATTCATCATTTTCAGACCCAGAATGACTAATTGGGAAGGTGGAGAACTGTGAGTCAGACTTGATACTTCTGGAAATAGATAATGTTTAGAAGTCCCAAAAAAAACATTTATGGTCAGAACTTCCACCATTTATCAACAATGAGGATATTCAAGCATTTTATTTTGGAAGGCCTGGAATTAGAAATAGCTGCATTGGCACTGAAAGAAGGGCGTGGAGTGTTTGTTCTCTGAATGTTCATTGCATTACAGTTGGGAGGTCAAACCTCCATCAGACCTAACATTTCCATTCATATCAAAATCTTCAGAAAGTCTAAAGCATTTTTGTGATACAAAGATTTCAAATTTAAGACATGGATTAAGAAATTACAGGAATCATTACACAACTTTGTCTTCTGATACGCAACACTGAAGAGGCGTACAAGAGTGCTATGAATTAGAACATAGAAGCCAGCACCATGATTGAAGCCAAAAGTGCTAAGATTCTAATGCTGGAATTGTGCTTGGTGACCAGAAACTGTGTCTTTAAAGACAATGCCAAAACTCAAATCTACAATGCTGATATGTTTGGTGATCTCTATGGGTAAATATCTTAACTGCCTCACCTATGCAGCCCGTGTGGATGATTATTTAAAGTTATTCCCTAAAGAATTTATTTCCACTAAACAAGGACTGACATATGCAAAACAAAATTAAAAATTCTAAATATATGTGCACAAATTATAATGAAGTCACAAATAACAGGCCCAGCAATACGAGAGTGAGTTACCATAATAGCTGAAGAAAACCATGAACCTATTAGGTTGCCATGCAAACTCACCTGGCTCACTAATTAACATCAGGCTTACGCCAAAAGTTGTTGAGTCTTAACTTCTTTCTGATGTGGCTCAAGAAACCACTCAATTATATAAAGCTACTACCAGCAGTACTAGAAAGCTGAGCAACACCACTTTCCTTGAACAACCATCAATTGTGCCAAAATCCAGCGAATAACAGCAAAATAAAACACTAGCCCAGATTGTTCCAGTAGGATACATGTAAAACTGGAAAGTATTAAACAGATGTAGAAATTTTTGCTCAATACTTAATACAGCACACTGCACAGTCCACTTTTCGGGAGATCTACTGGAGTTCTTTGGATTGTTTCAGAAACCCCTTTGGCAAAGATAAGATGCCCTTTGAAATTTTTAATTTGACACAAATACACAAAATAACTGGATAAACTCATTGGAAATATCAAGGAAATGAGACATTTGACTTCCTCCCTTGAATATTCTTTGCTGTGTTTTGCTATTGCATATATAATTCCTTAGGAACACCTTTTTCCTCATTAAACTTTTTCTCTGCCCTTCATTGTATAATTATCCTCATATAGATTGGGTTAATACAAGTCTCCCATTATCACGACTGAATAGTTCCTTTCACCTCTATCAAAGTTCACTACAGGTTTGAAGCAGCTGGAGCAGGGACACTGGTGACCAACTGGCCGGAGGGGGGAGTGGTGGCAGCCAGTGGTCAGATCATGCGGAGGCCCGCTGTGGAGACCCTTTGGAGAGACACTGTGATGTTTGTCTTTTTAACTTGCTTCTTGTTTTTCTGACCTATGGTTATATTGTGTATAGGTGTAATGTAACCTTTTGTTCTTCATTTCTCCATTCTGTAACAAAATATTATACCTAGGTATCCTTGTACCTAAGACGGAGCTTTAAGTAGTGACATATACTTTCACTGTACTCATCCAAATATGTGACAATAAAGCTACTTCACTAAAGTTTTTAAGAGTAGATTTGTAGCAGGTTGTGGATGTTTTGGTTGGTTGGCTGGCCGAGCTGGTTTGTTGTTCCGCAGATGTTTCATTAGCCTGCTGGGTAACATCATCAATGCCAGCCTCCGCTAGAGTGCAGTTGTGTTTTCCCGCCTGTTATTTAAACGGAGAAAAGACAGGGTTTAAATGACAGGTGGGTAAACACAACAGCGCTTTAATCGGAGGCTGCACTGATGTTGTCACCCAGCAGGGTAATGAAACGTCTGCGTAACAATGAACCAGCTCGGCGAGTCAACCAACCACAACAAAGCTACTTCAATTCAATAAGAGTCATACCAGAGTTGACACTAACTCTGATTCTCTCCCCACAGATGCTGCCAGACCTGCAGAGTTTTGCCAGCTTCTGTGTTCATTTTGCTTTAAGTCTGTTCCACTGTTTCTTTCCCATTAGGTGGTGGCTATTGACTATACTTATTAATATAATGGTACTTCACAATTGTTTCTTATCTCTAATTGATTAGATTCTGTCTTGGCCCCTCGAGGATATTCTCTCTATTAAACACAGTCACCTTCTCCTTAAATCAGTATTACTACCCTTCTCCTCCCTTATTTTCTTTCCTCATCATTTCTGATGATCTGGTATCCAGAAATGTACAGTATCTCATTACTCCAGAGGTCTCCTTTATTGCCCTGGCATTATTTCCCAAGTACATATTTCCACCTGCAGCTCAATCACTTTCCCTTTCTTCTAAAAAAAAAAAGACTTCATGTTTTGACTTACATAATTTACAAACCTGAATTAGATTCATTTCGTCTGATCTCAAGAAATAACTTATTTCTTTGATGTCTTCTGTCTCTCATCCTTTTGCATGTTATTTCTCCTTCTAACGCTACATCCTGGTTCTCATCACTTTGCAAAATTAATTTAAACCCTCTCTCACAACACTAGCAAACTGGCCGGAAGGATGTTTGTCCTGGCCTGTTTGAGGTTTAATCTGTCTGATGCATACAGGCCCGGAACTGATCCCCATCTTCCAGAAACATGCATGAAAATTATTCAAAAATCAATTATGTGCCATACACTCTTTCGTACCTTGTTGTTCCCCCGTCTGAAGCTGAACTGTACAAGTGGAACTACATTTTTAAAGCCTGTACTCCAAGGTACTTCCGAGCCCATCTTGTTCCAGTTGAGTAATCTGAAGTAATAAATATAGCCTAAAGAGACGGTGAGGATAATCAGCAGCAAATCATTATTCGCATCAGGGAAAATCTTCATTCGCTTGAATAATTACCATTGAAGCAATAATCATGGTCTTTGAGTCAGACATAGTTAGGACTCAATTTAATGAAATTTAGTGTTGTAGAGTAACTGCTTGTTATTTTCTTCAAAACAGTCAAATCTGTATTGATTATAAAATTAAATATCATTGCCACAACTTAGCGGCCCATTTACTATTGCATTAAACTGGTCAGCAGTTTAAGCCATCATCTACATTGTTTATTCTGCTTCCTGCTGAAGACATGATATATTGAGTAGGGCGAATATGGTGACAAGAATTATATTCGATCCCCTAGCCTACTTTGCAACTAAAGTACACTATCAAAGTTCTCCTTCGTGAAGGAGGGCTCACTTAAGAGTTTTTAGTATCTCAGACAACCAAGGTAAAATCCCAGTCAGTGATATTGGATTGCAGACAATTCTCCCAATCCATCTCCACACGTGGTGCAGTTGTCAATTCAGAGATGTCAACTGTTATAGAATGTTTTCTTATGTTTATAAGGTGCCGTTAATGTTTAAAATGATATTACCGAAAAAGTATGTAAAATGGGTTTAAATCAAATTGTGCGCACAATGGGCTGTTTACACTAGGATCACTTATATAATCATTTACAGTTACAAGTAGCAACGAGGTCAAATAGTTTGCACTTGTTGGAACTGAAACTGATCACAAGAAAGTTGTAAGCACCAAACTTAGTAGAAAAGGTGTCTACAAAGCAGGGAAAACCTTCTTCCACTTGAATAATTACCAGTCAGACAAGAAAGCAGTACTTAATTTTTTTTTTTAAGTTACTGAAAGCACATTTGCTTTTGAATACAAAAAATGAATGTTTGACTCATTGGTACAATTTCAGTTGAAGATTCACACAGCGACATGGTCAGACTAGATATCAATAGAATATAAATACGGCTGCTCATGTAGCCCCAGTGGTCAGTTCAAATGAACAAAAGCAGCATAAAAAAAGTGAGAAAGGCCTCACTAGCAACTGCTGGTGAGGCCCACATAATAATCATCAGCTGCTATTAAAGTGTCCTTTATACTGCTTACAAGATAACAATCGTCTTTTACAACTTGCATGTGCACTTTTTGTCATAATTATTTGTGTAACTTTCAGCAGGCAAAAAATGAACAATCTTAAAAATAATTAAAACTGTACATCACTCCATTTTTTTTCCCACTTTAAATACTCCGTGAGGTATCCGTGATTTCTAACAAACACTGCAGCATTTGTCTTGCTTACACAGCAAGTTTTCTTTTAAAGGGTTGTTTTGTAAATGCAAGTTTGTTTTTTTAAAAAAAGCAGTAGTTCAAATCTTCAATAGAACATGAACACATTTAAATTTCCTTTCTTTTTAAAAGCATTCTCACCTCCCTCAGACACAGAGGTCATGGGAACAAAATATGGATGTTTTATCTACATAAATATTCACATGAAAAAACTTTTAACTTACAAAAACAAAAACAGATAAAAGTACAATGATAAGGCAGCATTAGACCACAATTAATCTTTTACAATGGTGACAAAAGTATTTTTTTTGTAGACTATCATACATCTGGTGGTTTCAACAAGGGATGCGTGTGTGTGAGACAGCGCGTGAGTGAGTGAGAGAGAGAGAGACAGCGCGTGAGAGAGAGAGAGAGAGAGAGAGAGCGCGTGTGTGAGAGTGCGCGTGAAAGAGTGGGGGAAGTGACTATTCCACTGTATTATTTACATTATCTTCTGGTGCTTGTGTTTTTTGGGGTGGTCTTCTTGGAGGGTGTTGGGATTTTTGAAGGTTTTGTAGAACTTTTTCTTGAACTTGCTTGGGATCCTGCTGTGCTGGATTCAGAAATATCCGAACACATTGATTGTGTTTCCAAAAGGTCAAAATCTGAAGCGTCACTACCACGCCGACTGTTTGCCCTGCTGCCAGCACGACTCCCAGCACGACTCGTTGGCCTACTTGGTGTCCTTTTAGAATCTGTGGATGACAAAGTCAAATAAATAAATCAAAGTTATTATAGGGAGATGCTCTATTGGTTGCTATAAATGCTGGCTTTTCCCTGCAGCCAAAAGTGGTACTTTTACTTTGTCTTAAATATTTAAAGTTGTTTTTAGTTTCCCTTTTCCAAATTTTTTCTCAATAGGAGTTCACAGCTTGCAGAGAAGAATGCTCAATCAATGTTTACAAGAATATCTCCAGAAATCCCAATAAAACCTGTTTTCACCAGCAGTGGATCATGACTCAGATGAGGATTCCTTGGTTTATTTTCCCTCTACCTTGGTCAAAAAACCAAATTAAATGCTTGCAAAAACACAACAATACAGTCATTTCAATTTGCAACAACACAGTTTTAAATTGGCATCAATCCAATTTATGCCTGCCAGTTAATGACTGCACTCTCAAAGGTGAGAAGGCTAATTTTTTGGAACCTGCAATTTTTTTTGTCAATGACCCTTTATTTCAAATAATTCCCACCTGCATCACTAACTATGGGTGGATAACAGAGCGGAACTAGGCAAAAACACCGAAGGATGAAGAAGTGGTTATCTGACAAGGAGCACAGCAGTAGAAAGAAGGAAGGGGAGAAATAATCAGAGATAGTAGGAACTGCAGATGCTGGAGAATCCGAGACAACAAGGTGCAGGGCTGGATGAACACAGC